ATTTAGAATTGAAAAAAAAAAGTTTTTGAAAATTAGCAGTAAGTTGATTCTAAATTCTGCCCTGAATTCTGCTAAGAATGACACTATGACCAATAGTTGGCTTGATATACAGCATTCTATATAAATGGTCAGAAATATTTAATAAATATTTATCAACTTTTAAGACCATAAATATCCCCTTAGCTGACGATAATCTCACCTTCGCTTCATCCAATTCATGATCAGCCACTCGTAAAGCTGCATTTTTATCCGTTTTTAACCTCGATGCTAATAAGTCTACATCCTGTAGTTCATCCTCTAACTGCCGAGCCTTCGATTCAAAGTTCACCGATTTGTCTAAAGCCTCTCTTTCATAAATTTCTGCTTCCGAGAGACGGTGTTCGACCTCCCTGTTCTTTTGTTGGAGGTAGTCAATCTGGAATGTATTGAATTATGAATCATGGAATAGAATTTATCGTTATCTCTTGTACTGATTATGGTAACAATATACAGGAGAAAAACTTGGTCTGATCAATACAATGTTCATATTTTTTATGTTGAAATATTGGAAAATGATTATCTGTATCATATAAAGTTCCTTATACAACCAAGAAAACCATTAGGATTTCGTCAAGCTTGTAACTGAGCTGCTCTATAATTAAGTTCATATCTGAGCATTCTTCTTGGTTTGCTTGGCACTATCTTAGAAAATGGACAGTTAATTTGTGGCATCTTAGAAAATGATCAGTTTCTGTGGGATTAGGTAAAATTTTATCCCTTTAAGTGTTCTCACATGATTTTTTCTCAAGTGGGTGACAACTACTCATTTTTACAATTCAGACCAAAATTGATCAAAATATGCCTGTTTACATTATTTTTCTCATTTTCAGGTGGGAGCAAATAGATTTTCAGGTGGGTCCTAGCCTGTTTTTAAAATCTCAGGTGGGTGCTGTGTCCACTTGATTTAAAGCTGGGGTCAGATCACTGCCTTATTATAAAGGGGGAAAATTAATACTTGTAACAAAATCAATTACACATTGTGATTCTCAATTACTTTAAATGAGGAAAATTTAACCAAAGCTTACTGACTGACCTACAACCAATTGAGTGTTTTAATTGTAACTCCATTTTTTGCCTGAATTTCCTTAAAGCCTGATTAACATCATTAATATCATTCAATTTGGCAATTTCATTTGTTTAATGAATGCAAAACTAATGCTAATTAACAGGTAGTTTCGCTATCAAATATCAATTATTTTCTAATTAAAAAAAAGAGCAAACACTTTTCATCAAATTACTTACAATTTGTTTTGCTCCAAAGTACCAAAGGTACGCCATTGCTTCCCAACCATTGCAAATAACAAAGTCAAAGCCTTGACACACTAACCTCTAGCCAAAGATATTACATATTTTGCCACAACCTCATAAATTAATAATTTTCTACTACCTTTGTGTATTCATGTGAAAATATCATACTGGACCATGCGGCACAAATTATAAATAATTAAATTGAAAGGCCATTCTTCTAAATCTGTGCTACTGTAGAACATTACATTTTCCCTTGTGTTAATCTAATGGGTCTGTTCTTCAATTTAATGCTATGTCACAGTGATTTTAGGATTAAAATCATCAGGAGCTACAATATATTTCAAAGATGAAAATTTATGAACAACATGTAAGTGGGGATGTAGTCATTTTCACAGTCCATTTATTCTGAAATGTGCAAAGCTCTATTTAGTGATATTTTCATTTCAAATATGGCAGTCGTTCCGATGTTATAAGAGTGCAGATATTCATACTTATAAACGAACCAATTGGGAATACCCAATAACAGTCAGAGAAATCTGCCGATCAACAGAAACTCACTTCAAAAAATCAAAAGCGTATGATCCGTTCTGGGATCTAAGATTTTCAGTATAGATAAACCATTTTGAGATATTTCGAAAAATTAAGTCTCTAGTTCGGAAGACAATTGTATCAACTTGAACAAAAGTTGAGTTTTGAAGAAAAATTCTAGCATGCGCAGAAATCCATTTAATTTGTTATGCCATATATTGACAGTTCAGGAAAATTGTAAATTGAGTACAAGAAAATAACTGTCGCCCACCCATTTGAGTATCTAGTATCGAAGGCCGATAAATCAGAGCACATGTGACTCGGGCGTAAATCAAATTCTTACAGGAAATTACACAAATAAGAATACTGAGTTGACATACCAGTATATATTGAATTCAAATATATATGAGATGAAAATTACTTATTGACATGACATACCTGTATGTTGAGCTGAGATATAAGGCGTTCATTGGCTCTGTTTCTGGCCTCAAGGGCAACAACATCGTAGGGCCGACCCCCGTCTAACATCCTTCCTAGTCTGTCAACTTCAGCATCCCTGGCGTCTACCTGCAAAACATAATACATGGGGTTAATTTTTTCCAGTTTCAAGCTCTAATATAAAGTTTATGTAAATAAAAATTGTTTTTTTCTGCGTAATATCAAAGAACAATCATTTAGTTAAAAAAATAAAAAAGGCGAATGCGGGATTCGAACCCGGGCCTCCCGCGTGCTTGGCGAGGATTCTACCGCTGCACCACCGTATTGTTATGTATGGTGGGAGTAATTAAACGCTACTTATTTTGAATGCTATGATTCGGAAGTGACGTCACGTTCTTCATTTAGAAACCTTTCCAAAATCATATCGCCGGCTCCGATCGAAGCAAATTCAATGAAAAATCTTTGAAATGACACATTTATCGTAAGTATTTCTACACAAGATTTGCCCCATTTGTTCATCATTCTATAATCTTTCATTAAGCTCAAAATGATAAAGTTCACCCCCGAAACAACCCAAGATTGCGTTTCGGAGCGTAGTCCAGCTTTAACAGATGTTCTTTTTTAAAGTATATTGTTATTGTTTATTAAATTTTAATTGCAATTATTCAGGCTAGCACAACTCCAGGCCTATGAAGCACCTTTCATCAGGCCTATGACGTGCATGTTGCATATGGCCCAAGCTAGTTTTGGTGGAGAATACAAAACTATACAAGGTATTAACATGCAAAATGTTAACACTTGCTATTTGTTACAGACACCAACCATCGAACACCAACAGCCAAATGCCAAACACCTGAGTCATCAAATGCCAAATACTGTCCACAAAAAACGTTGGAGAATATGATATGACACCACTTGTGGTGGTGACATTACAATTACATCCAGCGTGTTCTAAATGCTCCTGCTCTCCCAAAATGTTTTTGTTGGAGGTGATATTGCTTAAGATTTTGTAATTTTAAGTGCAACATTGTAGGTTTTTGCAATTTTTGACAAAATATCTTCATTGGATGTACCTAGAATTATTGGAGGTGCTGAATCTCAAAATTCTGATATAAGAGGAGCTCTGTACTGTTTCTAATACATTGCACATGAATTGTAAAAATAAATACATCAAAAAACACATTTTAGTCAACGTCCAGTATATTCAAAGTCGAGTCAAGTCAATTTTTTCTCACAACTTGCACCAATAATCAAAACCCTGGATCGATGTTGGTCTAGAGATGACACTCTGGTCAAATTTTTGAATTGTTACAATGACTCTTCTAAGTGTTCTATAAGTACTACAAACTTGAGGCACTTGACATATAAAATGACAGAATTAAATTAAACATACTTATTAACCTTAACTGATATCATATCAAATCTTTATCATTAATTCACTGTAAACTCATATTTCATATCTAATATCATATTATATATATTATAAAATATTGTGGAACTTCAATATCCTGTTATTCTAAATTAGATTTTTTGTTTTTAGGATAATAATGACCGAAATACATGCATGCATATGAAATAACACTGACTATAGTACTGAATGTGAAATTGTTAGAGGTCACAATAACTCCTAAGATCATGTGCACTTTCATCACTTCCTTACAAGTATTATTTTTTGAATAATGTGTTAGGAATATACTTGTTAACAATAATACAGTGAAACTTGTCAAGTGGAACACTCCTGTAAGTGGAACATCTGTGTAAGCAGAACACCTTTGTAAGTGAAACACCTCTGTAAGTGGAACACCTCTGTAAGTGGAACACCTTTGTAAGAGCTGGTGGAACACTTTTCCCAGTTTCATGACCAATCAATTTAATATCAACTGAATCTACCTCTGGTAGAAGTGCTACTAGAACATTTTTCAGTCCTGCGACCTATTATTGTAAGGTTAACTAAACCTCTTTGAGCAAAACAGTTAACACATTTAAGCTGAACCAAAGCTAAAGATGTTTCACTTAACAAGGTTTAACTGCACCAAGCATGAAAGTAATATATGTTTAACACATCCTTGATGAAATAAATAGCAGCTTGATAAATGAGTGAGTACAAGCATGATATACCAATAGATTAACTAATTCTAATCATCCAGACAACAGTACAGAAAAGGATTACAGTAAATACACAGTTCTAATACTTATAGAATAATCTAAGAAATGTATTAACAAATCTGCTAGTACAAAATCATATACTTTACCACTCGAGAGAGAATATATTCCAACAAAGTACTGCTATAAAACATCTACATTTTCGTATTGAATTTATGATAGTCTACATAACAGTGCATGCAATAAGGAAAGAACAGATCAATAAAGTGCCATAGTTAAACGATTTTTTCATAAGCAAAATAAACAGGGAAGGTATATGTTCTATTATCACTGAATGAATACAAAACAGGAATGGATTGACCTAAGGTTTGATGATGATGCATACTGGCAGGCTGCCACTATACACAAACGAGGGAGTATCATGAATACATGTACAATAGAACTTAATGATTTGAAAAGGAGGTCATAGGTACACAACAGATTGCAATAAATACCTGAGAGAGATAATTTCCTATCACAAGTGAACATGTGTAAAGGTTGGAATTTACACTATCATTGTACTACAATAAGATAAAAAAAAATATGCCACTCATTTGAACCACATGGTGAATGTACCTCAATGTAACTGTCCCTTATTTTTCATTAAGGAACTGTAAACTCAATCAAAAGTGATTCTTCCAATGAAATAGTCAAAATATAAAGGAACTCCGGTGTTATTCTGTTAACCAAATATATGCACAAATAACTCTTGGTGCACAAGAGTCAATAGATACAGGACATTTTATCTCAGATAGTTTAACAGTAAAGTTAAGTACTGACATGCAAGTTATTAAATATCCATATAAAAGAATGAAAAGGACTTGGAGAGACAGGGAGCTATAATAAGTGTTAATTAGCAGAGGATACAAATCCAGCGACCCGTTAAAGTGATGAAAGAGAAGAGATTGTGAAAAAATATTTAACCTTGAAGTGCTATATTGTTAGAGCAATGTGTATAAGGGAGAAATTAACACTACAGTGGAACAGTATTGATAAAGTACTAGCATAAGTAATACTAGATACATTATAGTAAACAACTCACACACAAAACTTGAAAGTATGGAGAAGTGAAGGTTTCAATATTTATGATTGGATTTGAGAGCCTTTTGTATGATGTCATAATGATACTTAAATACCCATAAAATATTTAATTCATGCATTAACTTTAACAAACTCAAAGCATGAATAAAAATATAGAACATAGGAATAAGGATAAGGCATGTAAGATGATGAAGGGAAAACATAGTGTCCATGTGGTACATGGTCTCATATATGATGATGAAACAAACCATACAGCCCTGGAAAGTGATAAATCATGGATATGGACAGATAAGGATGGACTAAACAAGAGTGAGTTGGACCTCTATATTCCAGGAAAATCTGGAAATGCTCTTGAGGATGATCTAAAGTTACAGGGTGGTACAAGTAGACTACAGGGTGATCCTAACTCTAGTATACATGGTAACACAAATGAACAGATATCTGACAATAATTCTCACCACTCAAAACCAGAAAATAACAATTCTAACAATGATGTTGGTTCAAACAAGTCATTGAGCCACTCAACAAAAGCGCCACCTTTAGTTGTGTTCATACATGGCGGCGGTTGGAGAAGAGGGCATCACGCGTCATGGAAATATTTCATATCAAGATATGACACTAACATTTTCATGGCTCTTGTACATCAGTTAATCTTCAGATTTTACGCTAATTTCGGAAAAACACTTGCGGAAAATGGTATCCCATGTGCAGTTATTTCTTATCCAATTAGCCGATTGCAATTTCCCTGGACCATAGCTGAGCTAGTCACGTCATTTTTGACAAATTACCTAATGTTTGGTGCTGTATTTATATTAGGATTAATATTGATGGCTATCTCGGGATGTCCAACAGTGGTTGATTTACAAGACTACCTCTTAGAGACTACATGGACCGATTTGAATCCACTGCTCACAATACTCTGTATGCACGGAGCCATCACGCAACTCCTTATATGGATAGTAATCATGTTCAATTCTCAGAATTACAACTTGACAAAACAAGCTGCAATTTTTCTCCCGGTGTGTCTTGCATTCATTAGTTACATGATATCACAATTCATCATGACATCACAGCAACAGATAATGATATTCAGCATCATACTCATTATGACATCACAATTGAGTTTGCTATATCTTCAAACTCAGGTGCCCATAGTGCAGCACCCGCAGCCCGTAAAATCTGTGGCCCGTTGTATATCCTGGCTTCACAAATCTAGAAAGTGGCAGGGACTATATGACCCAGAATCCATAGTCCTCCTAGGACACTCAGCAGGGGGACACTTAGCAACTTTGCTTGCTCTTGACAACACATATCTCACGAATGCTGGATGTCACCCAAGTGTTATTAAGGTACAATTGCAACAAAACAATTTAAATGAAACCATCATTAAGCAATCAAACAAGATAATGGATTTCTTTAGAACTTCATGATAATATTTGAATGTATTCTATAATCATGTGAAGCATTTTGTAGAATTCATTCTAACTGAAAACGCACCATATAGCTATTTCTTAACTGATGCATATCTTTCATATTCCATATGTCATGTGTTATTCACCCTAAAATTGTATATATTCCAGGGAATCATATCGATGTCTGGGGTATACTCCGTACCAAGAATTGCAACATCGTGGATGGCAAAACACTTCATTATCATCCCAGCATTTGGAACTGACCAATCAGAATGGGAGATATCTTCACCTCTCACCCATGTGAAAAATCGAGCCATGAATGGCATCGGCATTCCTAAATTTCTCTTATTCTGTGCTGAAAGTGAATTTCCATTTCTACAAAAAGATGCAAGTGATTTGAGCGATAAGTTCAACGAATTTGATGTTTCGCATGAATATTTTATCATCAAAGGGACCAATCATTTTACTATCGCATCAAACTTCGGTAGATATTCAGAGCATTATAATGAACATGTTACAAAACGCTGCATTGACTTTATACTAGGGACAGGATCAATGTGAAGAATTGTTATACACTGTACACTTAAATTGTAAAAAGTCATGAAATGTATTATAATTTAAAAAATAAAGTCAATTGAATATCATTCCATAAAAAAATACTGTATTGGTCTCTAAAATTGTTTACTGATCACCCATTTTTAAAATCAGTGTTGCCTTTCTCAAACCAACCATAATAGATCACTGAAACCTTCCTAAAATCACCCATTGCTTTCTGAGACCACCATACTTTTTTGAACCAACAATACCTTTCAAATACCATCCAAGGAGGGAAGCTGTTATTCAAACTGGATACTCCGTTGCCAAGAGTAGAACCTTGAAGAAATAATTTTACTAAATTGTTCAACTGCAGGCAACGGAGAATCAAGTTTGAATAATGGCTGCTAATCCTCCCTGAATATCATCCATACCTTTCTCAAACCACCCCTATTTTTCTAAGACCACCGATACATTTCATCAAACACAATCCTATTGTGATATATGCCCTTCTCCATCAAACACAAACAAAGCCCTTCTCTACCAAACACAACCATATTGAAATACAAGCCCTTCTCTTCCAAACACAACCATATTGGAATACAAGCCCTTTTCTACCAAACACAACCATACACCCCCAAAATGCAATCTGATTTTCGACGCCGTTTCAGTGCCAAATTTCGGTGTCGTTTCGGCACCAAATGGACTGACTTGTCCGGTAGCAAATGTTGGTGTCGAAAGGTTTCGGTGCCGTAACGGTGCCAAATTTTTTCGATGCCGAAACGGCGTCGAATTATATTGGCTATGTATTGTAATACAAGCCCTTTTCTACCAAACACAACCATATTGGAATAAAGCCCTTTTCTACCAAACACAACCATATTAGAACACAAGCCCTTCTCAACCAAGCATAAACATATTGGGAAAAGAGCACTTCTTTAACAAATACAACCATATTGGAATGCAAGCCATTTTCTACCAAACACAACCATATTGGAATACAAGCCCTTTTCTACCAAACACAATATTGGAATACAAGCCCTTTTCTACCAAACACAATATTGGAATACAAGCCCCTTTCTACCAAACACAATATTGGAATACAAGCCCCTTTCTACCAAACACAATATAAGAATACAAGCCCCTTTCTACCAAACACAACCATATTGGAATGCAAGTCATTTTCTACCAAACACAACCATATTGGAATACAAGCCCTTTTCTACCAAACACAATATTGGAATACAAGCCCTTTTCTACCAAACACAATATTGGAATACAAGCCCCTTTCTACCAAACACAATATTGGAATACAAGCCCCTTTCTACCAAACACAATATTGGAATACAAGCCCCTTTCTACCAAACACAACCATATTGGAATACAAGCCCCTTTCTACCAAACACAATATAAGAATACAAGCCCCTTTCTACCAAACACAATATTGGAATACAAGCCCCTTTCTACCAAACACAACCATATTGGAAAACAAGCCCTTTTCTACCAAACACAATATTGGAATACAAGCCCCTTTCTACCAAACACAACCATATTGGAATACAAGCCCTTTTCTACCAAACACAACCATATTGGAATACAAGCCCTTTTCTACCAAACACAACCATATTGGAATACAAGCCCTTTTCTACCAAACACAACCATATTGGAATACAAGCCCTTTTCTACCAAGCAGAACCATATTGGGATAAGAGCACTTCTTTACCAAATACAACCATATTGTAATACAAGCCCTTTTCTACCAAACACAACCATATCGGAATACAAGCCCTTCTTTACCACACACAACCATATTGGAATACAAGCCCTTCTCTTTCAAACACAAGCATAATTGAATACAAGCCTTTTCTAACAAACACAACCATATTGGAATACAAGCCCTTTTCTACCAAACACAACCATATTGTAATACAAGCCTTTTTCTACCACACACAACCATATTGGAATACAAGCCCTTCTCTACCAAACACAAGCATAATGGAATACAAACCCTTCTCTACCAAACACAACCATATTGGAATACAAGCCTGTCTCTACCAAACACAACCATATTGGAATAGAAGCCCTTCTCAACCAAACACAACCATATTGGAATACAAGCCCTTCTCTTCCAAACAAATCCATATTGGAATACAAGCCCTTCTCTACCACACACAACCATATTGGAATACAAGGCCTTCTCTTCCAAACACAACCATATTGGAATACAAGCCCTTTTCTACCAAACACAATCATATTGGAATACAAGCCCTTCTTTACCACACACAACCATATTGGAATACAAGCCTGTCTCTTTCAAACACAAGCATAATTGAATACAAGCCCTTTTCTACCAAACACAATCATATTGGAATACAAGCCCTTCTTTACCACACACAACCATATTGGAATACAAGCCTGTCTCTTTCAAACACAAGCATAATTGAATACAAGCCCTTTTTTACCAAACACAACCATATTGGAATACAAACCCTTCTCTACCAAACACAAGCATAATGGAATACAAGCCCTCCTCTACCAAACACAATATTGGAATACAAGCCCTTCTCTACCAAACACAATAATGTAATACAAGCCCTTCTCTACCAAACACAATATTGGAATACAAGCCCTTCTCTACCAAACACAATATTGGAATACAAGCCATTCTCTACCAAACACGTCAATATTGAAATACAAGCCCTTCTCTACCAAACACAATATTGGAATACAAGCCCTTTCCTACCAAACACAACCATATTAGAATACAAGCCCTTTTCTACCAAACACAACCATAGTGGGGCACAAATCATATATAATATCAGAGATTCGATACAAGAATTGAGTGCATGTATAACATTTCTGTTTAATAAGATTTATATATAGAACTTTCAACCTGTATAGTTCCAACAAAAGAGAATTGATCTGTTACACAAATACAAGGCAATATCAGTGTATATGTTAGCATTGCATGTTAACCTAAAATACTCTGTCTATGTATTATATGGTAGATTGTTTAATACTGCACAATTACCCGTACAAATGTATGGGGTAGCAGTGGCACTTTAAACTTATTTTCCAATGAACATGTTGTGTTTTAGTCATTAAATGATCCGTAATCATATTGGATAGTCAGATATGGGCGTGTGGCCACAGCTTATCTACTGAACGAAATGCGACTACCCAAGTGAATTTACAGGGTATTGAATTTTCCCTTGCATAATTTAAATTGATTCATTAATTTATTGAGAAATGTGAACTAAGGATCAATGCAAATTATAACGTTGCAGACAAGTTGAAAAATGTTGTCGAGAAAATGCATATTTTCAAATGGAACCCCTCTACTCCACTCGATTGTGACGCTTCCCCACTCATTTCTCACACAGAAGAGGTGAGTAGTGGGGGAAGTACAAAGGCTTGTCGTTAGATTCAAATAAATCTAAACAACTTAAAACCATACAGGCATCAAAGCAACCTACCCTAGAACTTCTTGATTTGCTTCTTGACCTCCTAGTAGACATAATGGTTCTGTTTTCTGCATAGATGTCTCTACCTTTCCACAGAATTGTTAACACCTGGTAAAAAGTTTAGTCCTACACTGTCATACATATAGCCTGAATTTACTGTTTCTTGACTCAATGAGGGTAAAGCCTTCACTTTTTCTCCCTTAGCCAAATAATGCCTACGAACTGTTGCTTATTGGCTAAATAAAGCTTAAAAGTGCTCCTTGTCCAAAATAAAGTCCAAAATAAAGCCAAAAATTGCTCCTCGGCCTAATGAAGCCTGATATATAACTTATTCTTCTGAGTGCAAAATAGCCAAGTGCGGGGCTTTAAACTGGGCCTGTTCTGCTAAATTAACTCCACCATCTCATTCAAAATAACTTGGAAAATTTTTACTATACTTTACGCTAACTGCTCCTAGCGTATTTAAATTCTAACGTACATTTTATTCATATCTGTTTATACAGTTAAAGGTCACAATAGCATATTGTCAATCTGCATAAGCCTATTTGAAGAACAGAAAAGCAATCTTTAGATTTAAATCGATAATCTATAAGCTTTGACTAGTGGCTTACCTGGATCTATATACCTGCTGATTAATTCAAACTGTGCTGTCAATTATGCTGTTAAAAATACTCTGCATTGTTAACACTGAATAACAGGTGTAGTAGAATATCGTTGATGGATCGAATATCACAGTTAGAAAAAGGTCACTAGAAATGTAGCGTTCTTAACAACATCAAGTCTATTTGATTAATAGTGCTCATTTAAAGGGGGTTTCAATTTGAATAAGGTCTGTTTGGTTAATAGGAGACCGTTAACAGCTTGAATATACACTCCTCAGCATAAGTTTGGCAACTGGAAGTCCCATTTTTGATCACTAATTAAAGCTTTTGTTTGGTATTTTAAAAAATCAACAAATTTGACTTCAATTTCTGAACAGTTATAATTAAGAAACAAAATTAAGAATACACGTTAACAGGCTTCGGCTTTGATATGCTATCAAATGCAAACTTCCAGTTTCCAAACTTATTGGAGGGGAGTGTACATGTAAGAGTTGAAGTGTTAAAGTTAACAACTATTATATCAGACATAATAAGTTTATCTACTGGGAACACAATAATGCAGTTAATCGATTGCATATTAAATCTATAAATAATTAATAATTAATGAAATGTGATAAACTCACAAGTTTGTATTTATTAAGTGTGAATATTTTTGAACTGCAATTATAATTGTGGATACTTGTAATGATGTGATTTTTTATAAAGAAAAAATTAAGGTCAACTACTAGAATCATTATATAAACTCCATTATTATATATAACAATAGTCATGCTTCAACCCTGTGTGACCCTCATCATCCCTGAGACGTGATGAAAGACTAAAATGACTATATCTGATTATTGTAAAAATATTTTGGAAAAAATAAATGTATGTCTAAATTGCTTATGGAGTTTATGCAATATTTTTTGAGTTCTATTACTGTTCTTTGTGACTAAATTAATAATATTTTGCTGAACTTAAATGACTAATAATTTCTTATTGAACAGAATAATGCTGTGATCTCCCCAGGTTTTTTTCTAAGGTGGGTGCAAAATTCTCAATTTCACAATTCAGACCAAAATTGGTCAATTTTCATGATTTTTCTCATTTTCAAGTGGGTGCAAATGGATTTCAGGTGGGTGCAAGCCTATTTTCAAAATCTCAGATGGGTGCTGCACCCACTTGCTTTAATGCTGGGGAGATCACTGGAATTGTTACAGATGATCTGTGTATGTGGAATAGTTCTAACAACTATAAAATATTTCAATAATTCATACTGTTTTTCTCGATGTGAAAATGAAACATGGCTAAATAGGTGACACATTTGCTAGGGTTTTGGGAGGGGTACATAATATTGGAAAAAATTGGAGAAATTACTCACTTTCTTGATTTATCGAATATTTACAAATGGATTAATGCAAATCATAAAACCAGATGATACTGGTGATCTGTGAATTGCAATTTTACTTTAAACTTGTGATTTTGAAAAAATTGAAATTTTAAAGATTTTTTAACATTGTGTCAATGAAGATTTAGCCTGATCCTTTTCAGAAAAGTTAAAAATCTTTGTATCAAAAGGTTTTGGATATTTCCAATAAAATTCATCTTGGGAGAATTTTGGAGCAATTTTTCAAGTTAAAGTATACCCATTGAATTTTTCGCCATCTATTGACAATCATGAAGGCCATTGTGGTTTATATTTTCCAAGCTTTAATTGAAATCAAAGGACCATTCTCGGTTTGGAGAACGAAGTTCATCAATCTAAATGAGCATTATCCATGCTTCGGACAAATTTGATTTTTTTACATAATATAGATTTGAATGTCTTCTTTTGAATAGTCATAATTTAATTTGGGTAATATTTCTAGATTTTTCACAAAAAAATATTAGCGCAGTACACTGATGAACTTCTTGCCCCAAATCAAGACTTGTATTTTATTGAATCGGTCAAATTGAGCGTTATCCCTGCTTCAGACCAATTTGTTATTTTTACATCTTGTAGATTTAAATGTCCTCTTTTGAACATTCATAGTTTAATTTGGGTAATATTTCTATATTTTTCATGAACAAATTATTAGCCCAGGAGACTGTTCTCCAAACCGAGAATCGTCCTTTCTAAAATATGAATTTTCAACCATTCCAAAGATCATTCAACTTTTGAAGTGGATTTAACCACCTGTATGTCCCTGCTGTTTCCACAATTCACCCATTTTGTGTATATTTTCACAGTAAATTGTAGGCTTTTTCAACTTTTGTATGTTATTTTTACTATATATTGTAAAAGGGCGGCTATGTGCGAAAAATACCTGGTTCTAATACATAGATTTTGAAGAACTCTAAAACTCCATCTTAGTTAGGGGTAATTCCTTTGATTGAGTCTTGACCAAAATGGGAATTCTGAGAATACATGTGAGTCAATAAAAAAACAGCTACCCAATCAAAACTGTATTTATTTCAATTTACTTACATGAGTCTCTGGCAAGCCGATTGATTTAAAGATAACATTTCCAATTTACTCGAAATAAAATTTGAAATCAAAATGAGATCTTAGCCTGGTCTAAACATTGATGGCGCAAATATTTCGATGTAATAATTTTAAGTAGACACAAGCCATTTGGCTTTAAAATTGAAACATTAGCTGCTGAAGGTATACATGCAGTAGCATAAAATATATTTTAGCAAATAAAATCTACACAAAACCACTTTAAAGTGCCTCGCTAAAATTGGCAACACAAAAAAAGTTATTTTGCACACTGATGCTAAAACTAATGTCTATAGTAAACACTACTAAAAGCATATACATTTTCAATTCATTGGCTGCAATCACAAATGTCTAACCATTTGTTTCAGATGTGAGCATCAAATACTGAAAGTGAATTTCAAGAAAAAACTATGGTTATAACGTAGCGACGATAAAGTCCCATGAAACGAGGACCAAGTGATTGAAGAGTTGAAGCGATGGTTATGTCTGCCATTTGTGACAATGGTATCTGACTTTACCATTGTCAGGCTATTCTGGTGTGAACTTATACAGTCAATAATAACACTGTGACATATGTAAAGTTTTTCAAGTGAAACTCAACTCTATTTCAAGACATTTGTCTGTTGGACAGATACCATAAAAGTTCATATTTATTGAACGTTTCGTTTCAATCATCTTTCTTGAAAGTTAAGTGATATGATCCAAAAATGAACTGGATTTTCTCCTTCATTTAGACGCATGCACTAACTTTATTGAATAAATTGATACAATTAAAACATGATTCACAGTTGTCCTCAATATGCACGGTGTCAAATAAATCCTATCCCCCTGCCACAGCTAAACCCTTAATAGATAGCATACTTAATGTGATATACCATTGGAAAGATCATCCAAAGTTACATTAACTCACCATCAACTCTCAAGTATAACGATGTCCTTAAAAGTTAGTGTGCCCTCCTCCGGCAGCTTTTATTGCATCAAAATAAATATAGAAACTGCTTGAAAATATACATTTTGCCTCTGAATCATCAACATATTTGAAAACAAAATATCACTAAGGTAAATAAGGTGTTTGTATCAAATGCTGGTGGAGCCTGATCAACTCTGCTCGGGATAACTCCTCATCATATCTGCTTCAGTTTAATCCCCGAAAGCAGGAGGAGTGAGACTGCTGATGAAGCAACTCTTTCCCGACGTAAATATAAGAGGAAAATGTTGGCCTGGTAACTGAATTGTCGAAATTTAGTGTAAAAATACTGAATAGAACTAGAAATATTGTCATTTCATTGATGTAAATAAATAAAAATAATGGTGCCAAGAGGAGCCCATCATCCTGAAAGGTATTATATAATAGGGCTCCATATGGAGCCTATTGTCGTGAAAGGGTTAAACAACTGTATGCATATCTGATTCCTGATTCCTTCATATGTCACCATTTCTTAGTCAGGTGACATAAAATGATAAATACAAACTAACCTGTTTCCTGAACATTGACACTTTTTTCTCAATTGCTGTTTTCTCATCAACAATTCTGGTCACCTGACTCTCAAGCTCAGCTATCCTGTTGTCAGCCACCTAAAACATAAATATCACAGATAGAGGAATGTAGAGTCAGATTTTGTAGATATTCAACTAAAAGTAGGGGTCAAGAATAAAGTTGAAAACATGCCTAGATTCACATTATTGGCATTCGATTCTCAATTTATTGCCCAAAAGGCAACTATTTTTTCAAGTTCATTCAGAGTGAAAAGTGATTGCAATTGGCAGTCAGGCAGTTGTTTGAAACCCTGATTTAAGTGAGTCCAAAAAAGTCCAATTTTGATAAAATTACTTAATATACTAAACATACTATTACAGACCATATTCCACATTTATACAAATAAGGCCTGTGAAGAAAATGTCCCTTGTAATTGTATGATTTGCACTTGTATGAACTAATTGCAATACAATCTGTTGATGAAAAAATAGAAATGTAACTTTCTTGAAATGAATAATAAGGCACAAACATGCAGAATGTCACCACCTGCCATTTGCTACAGATACTGAATGCTAAACACCAACTCCGAACATCCACAAAAAAGTTGGAGACTACAAGAATTGTGGTGGTGACATTAAATGTATCAAAGTAGGACTCATAACTTACCTGAAGTAGATCAGCGACGTATGGGTCATCGGCCTGAGGTAGGGGTGGGGATGGGGTTGTGGAGGGGGGCAATAGGCAATCAGTCTCCATGCGTTGGCGTCTGAATGGAATTGATTTCTTCCTACCACCTGCAAATATTCAGTTTACATTTTTTTATTTCAAAAGAGAACCATGGCTGAAAGCCCATGACAAAACAAATAGTTTAAAGTAATTAATGCATTGAAAAGAGTGACATCTATCTAACTTTTAAAAGTGTGGTATGAGTTTTTGATTTAAGCAGAAGATGCCTTGTTGTGTTAAGGTAAGGGTAAATCCAAATTATTAAAATTTTATGTAATTTTTCTAGAGAATAGTAGCTTACAATTAATTTTCTTTATGTTATTGATTTATTTCTAATATAAAGAATCAAAATATTTTGATTTAAGCGACATTGTGTGACTGCTTTAATATATTTACATACCTGGTGTCTGCACAACAGCCTGGAAGTTTTTTTCTTGGAGTTGCAAGATCTTTTCTGTCTTTGCCTTAGATTCTTGTTCTATAGCACGTATCTTGTGAACATATTGGTTATTGAGGAATCTCAGATCTGCACTGTCATGTTCTAGCTTTCTCAAACTTTCTTTCAGATCTGTAATCATTTAAAATGCAAATTATGAGAATGATTTTTAAGATGGATCATGAAAATACATTGTAACATACATGAAGTTTATATTCATACATAAAGACTATAACAAGAATTCCATATCTATACTTTCTAAATTTGTCATCGTTTTGGTAGTGAAATAAAAATAAATCATTTTACATGTACTTTTAAATTGTGTGGTGTGGCTAATCTAAATTGCACACATTACCATTGACTAGGGGTTTCACGTGAATTTCTCACAACAGGCTAAATAAATGAAAAACAGGCAAACTTAATGAAAATCAAAAACTTTATGTTGAAAAGTTCCTCAAAACAACAGGCGATTTTATGGTAAAAAAATCACTTGTTGCCTCCTGCTTATGAAACCCCTGTTGACCAAAGGCCAAAACTCATCTCTAGTACCAGTCTATCCATCAGACATTTTACATTCTTAATTATCCACTGATGCATGTTTCTTACCTCTTATTGTAGCATCAGACTCCTCAGTTTTCTTGATCAGCTGAACATGGAGTTGATTATTTTCTTTGACTAGTTTAGCATTGTCACTTTTATATGGGTCTACTGCTGCACTGAAATCCTTTGTTTCCTTAGGACGTACTGTTTCTAGCTTTGCACGTTTGAGGCTCTCTGTTGTGTGTATTAGATCAGCAAATAGTCTCTCCACGAGAGGGAGGGATTCAATCCCAAGAGGCTGCCTATAACCTAACTGGTCGAGTCTTTTGCGCAATGCAACAAATTTTTCCTGTGCCATCGACATTCTGCTTTAGCTCTGAAAAGGAAAACTGGTGCAATGCATTGTAAACTTATACACTGGTATGATGCTTCAGTGGCAATCATACAGTCAATGTATGGCACACATAATTTTAAACTGTTGTGAATTTACTTAAAGATGTCATTGTAGATTCATATTTTCAATTTCAATCAATGATCATTCTGAAAGTACTACAATATATCGAATTCACCCCTCCATGAGATATACTACTACTACTCATTATCACACAAATATTCATTATGTCCATTGCTACCAAATGTTAAAAAAAGATATCCCAATTGCTGTGAAGATCCCTGTCATGCTTTATATTCACTGAACCCACTTCCCAACCAAGGTACACAGAAAGTGGAGGGGTTGATCTTCTTTCATGGACTTGGTGTTATACAACCTCTATACATAATTCAAACATGACCATGCTTAATCAGAATATCTTATCCAATCAGAATGCAGTATAGCTGTTCTGTATTTCTAGATAGATGAATGACCATCAATCTGCATTTGGGAACCGATGTCAGTGATCTCCCCAGGATTTTTTATAGTCAATTTTGCTAGAGCTTAAAGGAATTCTAAGTGGCGGAAAAGACAAAATATTGCTTCTGAGACGAGATCAGACGACTTTGACATATTCTTTACCCAATCTATTTTGTAATTTAACAATCAACACAAATATACATACACTGTACCATATTTAAGCAGATATTGGACAAATACATAAAATAAATATTTTTGATTGATAAAATCACTGATTATTAACAGGAAGTGTCTTCTCTGGGGTCCGCGAAGAAGACGAAGATGAAAACATAAGATTACAGTTATTTCAATTTTTGCCGTGGATTTAAATGCTTCTAAATGATCTTTGAATTCTTATTATGACTTCTATTCTACTGTACTGTTTTGACTTCCCCACTGTAAAGAACATTATCACTTTTTACTTGACTCATAAATATACTTCCGATGTTCAGAGAAAAATAAAGGTTCTTTTCAATCTTCAATCTAAATTTGACTTTTGAAAGGTTCAAACATTGACTTTGATTGAACCTTCATGCATCTTCGAAAATAAGTTCAAAGAAGGAGTTAGACCAGGCAATCAAATCTATATCCAGAAAACAAGTCATTTTTATAATTAACCATTTTATCCTCTTTAAGTCGCATTTATCAATGTTAAAATTGTTCTATAATTTATAATAGTTTACAATTTTTCTTTAAAATTGGAGATATGGGAGCCTTTAAATTTTCCGGTGAAGATTTTGATGTAAAGAATAGGTCACTGGGAGAATTTTAGGTGTGGGGGTCACATTTATTGATGAATTGGAGGCTAGCCTAAAAAACATTGATACAAATGAAGGACTTTTGAGGGGGAAGTTTTTGCAAAAAATTATGAAAAATATATTGTCATGTGAAAAATCATATAATATCAGCATTGGAATCTAATAGGCTAATAGATTTGGAAGTGCATTCACTGATGTCCCTGGCTGATGTCCTAGGCTGATATCCCTGCATTCCCGATAAACTGATAAATTTTCCATGATTGATGTTAAGTTTTAGCAACTATGTAGTAATGTACATATGTAATATTTTTAAGTGGCATTCTGTGTCGAAAAACTTTAGGGACTGTTATTTTATTGTGTAGAATTACGTAAACATCAATGAAAAACAATTTCAACACGGATTATAAACACCAAGGCTCTCTAGCCAAAATACCATGTTCACAGCTAAATAGCCTTAAATTTAAAGGCTCTTTATCATTTTGGCTAAAGAGTTTTAAAATTTAAGATTCAGCTGGAAAATTTTGGTAAAAAATTGCTGTACCTGCTATGTCATTTTTTGGTACAAAATTAAGTATGAAGGCATGTGTATATTTCCTTGCTTTTTTCAGGAAAGTATCATTACATTGTCTACTTTAAGTAAACCGGCCTTGAAACAGGTCAATGGTAGCTCCTGTGTTGTCTGGAAACTTTGAAAGAAAATTTGGAAAAATAGAAAGTGTGAAATATCGGCTTTGTATAAAAAACCTCCTACCATGATACAGTCTTTGAAGTGTTCAATTTTTAAGATCTTAGTTTATTAAATCTTAGTTAAAAGATTATGATGAACTATACGCATTTGTAACGACCCTTGATAGCAAGTTGCTACTACATCCCAGCTGGGTTCGATTCCCACTTGGAGCATAGAATTTAGCACACTTTCTTTCAATTTCTTTATCTGGCTTGTTGGACCTATGCTCACGGTCATTACTTATTTACTCCCCTGGAGCGCTCTCGGGTCATAAAACATTAAAATGCATCCATATGCCTTTATTTATGGATCTGTCATCTGTCTAGTCATAAAATAAAGCCTGAATTGTAGAAATGTTAATAAGTTGAGCTATTTTGAGATTCAATAATCTTTAAAATTGAACCCTTCAATGACTGTAACATGTTCCAGGTAGGTGGGTAGGTGGGTATGAGGTAGTAGGTTTTTTATACAAAGCCTGAGATATCAGAGTTTCCCTGGAGTTCCCATTGACCTCTTACCAGATATACTAAAATAAGACAATGTAATGATACTTTCCTGAAAAAAGCAAGGAAATTAACACATGCCTTTATACTCTATTATAGTGTACCAGAAAATAACATGTGCATGTACAGCATTTTTTTTACCAAAATGGTATTTTTCATCTGTACCTTACTCCAGCCACTTCGCAGGGGGGGGGGAAGATTTCCCAAAGATGACCTTTCATATTGGAACGTTCGAAAACAAATTTTATAAACAGGCCCACAGTGAGCACTATCAATCCTCAGATATCTAGACTGAAAGTGCTGTTACACTTCGACTTCCCGTTTGGTCTACCGTTTTTGTTTGGTCATAATCACTAATTGGTGTATATTTTACCTTATTTTTTAACTTCAGTTGAGTCTCAATACTCTGAGCATTATTTTGATACTTAAAACATGGTCAGAATCGCTTGCAAATCGCAGATATTGAGCTTGAAGCACAAATTTCTTACTTTTTTGGGCCAAAACTCTGCTCATGGACATGACCTCATATCTATTTATTGATAGTCAAGAAATCGTTAAAAAAAATTTCTGACAAGTTTCAAAAATATGAAAGTTGAATAAACATATAATATCACTGAGCAAAGCCCCTGGCATGAGAACCTGAAGTAGGTCATGACACATGCGCAGTAGAAATTGTCAATTTACTGAGCGGACCTTTCAATGGCCTGGAGAAATTTTACTCACAAGAATTGACATATAGGCATAAGAGGTGAGCGACCCAGTTATTTTTGCGTATAAATGTTTCAAGAATAGCATGATATCAAATAATCTGTACATTATGCTACAATTCATTCAAAAATTGAATCTAGAGGACAGGTGACCATATTTTTTCATATTTTTTTAATTTTTAGTCGCATAATCTGGTGTATATACCTCCTAGATGGAGGACTTCCCACTATCTGTGCTCATTTGCCATTGAACTGAATCTCCCAATGTTGTTTTATGAGTATTCTCTACAAGTTTGGATCGAGCAACTTCAATAGTATTACCGTAGGTTTTAAATGATGATATTGAACTGATGTTAACGCCATTTCCACGATTTCAAATTTTACTATGAGCATGAGAGAGAGAGCACATGTTCATGATTGTTCACGTGATCGAATCCTGTAATTTGATTGGAGATGATGCGGAAGATGACGTAATGGGGAACCCCCGAATACGATAGAATATGAAAGAATTCTGGGAGCTACAGTGGGGGACAAAAATAAAACTCAACGTTCACAAGTTGTCACAATGAGCTAATTTCCAAGTTTCGTGTCTCAAACTCTCCCAAGCGGTAGAAAAATAATTCCCGTTCACTAAAGTAGCACAATAAATGAATCCAAAGCTTCATACCTGCAAATAATGGATAAATCCCTACCAAATCGAATGAATGTTTTCATGAATCGCCATGTTTGTTATCCAAGGACGGTTGACTCCCAGAATGCAACATCCGTTACCGTATTTACTCATGACAGGTTTCAAAATGGCGGAACAGCATTTTGAAAGCTGGCACCTGTCATGTTGCATTATGGGAGCCAATCCTCCGTTCCGGCGCAATCGGGCGACAAAATCACCTCAACATTTGAAGAGTCGGCATAACATGTGAATATCCACTTCAACTTTCGAAGTTCTTATTTGTCATTAGGGACACAAATTCACTATATTTGGACTTACTCAGACGGAGAAAATAGAGCACTGAATACACTGAGGTAAGAATTTATTACATGTGCGACAGCATGTAATTTTCATAGCTTCTGCAATTCTTTATGATCCCCACTGTACTCACTTCTTCTAGCCTTTCCCAATGGCCATGATGATATCATGGCTAGTAGGACTAGGGACATCTTGAAGTCTAACTTCTTCTGGACACTTCGTAAATTTTTTTCTGTAGCTTCAAGAATTTGTACTAATATCAAATCATTATGTGAGAATTTGCTACTAATATATGTCCATATAGAAAGGTGAAATACTTACCTTCTCGGTCGAAACATTAAATTAATATAATGTTACAATTTATTTGAGAAATCAACAAAAATAAACCAATTTCCGAAAAAGTATGTGTCCGCCATTTCTTAAATTTTATTTCCTCCATTATAGAGAGTACACTGAACGAAAAAAGTGGATCAACCGAACCCAGGTGACAGACTGCAGTACTGTCAACCCCTAAAGATTTTCTCGCGGGACAGATTTTTTAGACCCAGTGCCCAAAATTCGCGGGATTTTGCGGGACATCTACTAAATTCGCGGGATTTTGCGGGACATTTAAGGGATTTGCGTGATTGCGCTAATAGGAGATTTTTTTTTATCAAATTCGCGGGGATTTCGCGGGACCATTCGAGGGACAAACACCCTAATTGCGGGACAGTTAACAGGTGTACCACCAAAAACTTCATAGAGGGACAGATTTTTTAGACAAAGTGCCCTAAATTTGCGGGATTTCGCGGGACATCCACCTAAATTTGCAGGATGTCCCGGGACAT